AGAAAATGCACTTAGAAAAATGTCGGGGGGGTTAGAATGGAGGGCCATCTTCCTCCTTGTTCCAGGTTTCATAAGAGGGGAAATCCACGCGGACACTTCTGGTCTCTCTCCACTCTCACAGGTTCTTTTCAGAAAGGAGACAACTATAGACACACGTCTATGAAAGGGAACAAAGCATATGTGGCTCTGTTCTCTCTCGTTCCCTTTGAGTCCCACCTGCCTGCTGCAGGAGCCCACGTTCTCCTGGCTCTTCAGGCTGTTACAGGGGCAGGTACCTCCATGAGGGGTAAGTTCCCTGCTTGGGTGCAAGATCAGCAAGTCTGCTTTATCATCCAACCCATAGCCAAACAAACCAGCCCGAGGAGTCCTGTAATAAAGACATTTTTATCTCCCGTTGGGAGTCTGTGACCTGGTTCTGAATTCAAACAGGATAGCAGGATAGAGAGCCATCACTTACAACAGCTTCTCTTTGCTAGGAGTGTTTGACTATCTCCTTTGCCCTCTCCTCCAGCTGCTGTCATGTATCCTTACAATACCTTGGTCATGGGCAGGTGTTTTTTTTTGTTTGTTTTGTTTTTTGTTTTTACTCTTTTGCAGGAGAGAAACTACAGAACCTGAACCTTGAATGACTTAGAGGCCATTTGATAGCCAGTTTGTTCATTTAGGATGGGAAATTCAGATTCCTTAACACAGATGTCATTTAGAGCATATAACTTTCCATTTGAAATCTTTAGGGAGGTGAAGCGCTGAATATTGCAAGTCATTTTTCTGCCACATAAGAGAGACAAGTCTATTACATCTGGAATAGAAACACTACAATGTTTATCTACTCACTTTTTTAAATGCAGCTCTAAGGATGAAGCAAGCAGGAAAGGAAATGAGAACAAAGAGTAGGAATACCCTTCGCTTGCTTCGGGGCATTTCTACTCCATTCATGAACAATTCCTGCAGTCCTCTGAGTGCCAGGCACCAACCTTGTGCTACAGAGATGAATAAAACACTGTCCCTGATGAGTCCACTTTTTCTGTTCCCTGTATAATAACGCAATCTATTTCTGTTAAAAACATCACCTCACGGACACAATCATCTATACAGTCTGTCCATGGAGAATGGATTACTTTGTGGTTTCTGCGTGCTACCTCCTCCCTGGTGGCCCTAGTTTTTCCAGCTATTTGGGGTAATTTACTACATTTTTTTTTTTTTTCAAAAAAGACAATGGATGTAAATATAATCCCAACCTGAATGCAGACCATGCATTCTATGGCTGGAAGGTACAACTCTAAGCTGCCCAATTGCCCATAAATGCAAGGCATGGGTCGCAACCAGGCTAGGAAATAGAAACAGGATGTCGTAATGAAATTCAGAGAAGAAAACACAACCCAGGGTGGCCATAAAACATAGGACACCTCTTTATCATCTTAAACTCAAGGCTACAGGTTCAACAAAATGAATCAGCTCCCTATTTGTTCTTAACACTTTTAATACTTCTAACACTTTATATTTAACACAAGGTCAAGCTTACTTAACCAAACAGGTTACACATGATAAAATAAAACACCTTCTAATTTGCTAATTAGACTTGTGTGAATAAGTGAAAATTCAGAACACAAAACATGCCAAATAGTAAACCTTTTTTTTTTTTTTTTAAAGGATGGGAATACAAAAACATTTACTAAGGATATATGTTCTAAGTACCCTCCTATAAGGCCTCTCCTTTATTAAATCCTCTCAACTCTCCTAGGAAGTAAACAGTAGTGTGTCCTTTTTCCCAGACTCAGAAACTAAAGTTCAGATGTTAAGTAACACATATTGTATTTCCTATTCCACTTCCTCTGGCAAAATTCCTTCTCCCAATCAATGTTTCTCAATGAACTTAGGGACATGGGTTGTTACCTAGTTTGGGGTTGTGAACTTTGCATGGGATGGCCATGCACTGAGGGACATACAGCATCCCTGGCCTATGGACAAAAAATAGGAACAACAGTCCCAATATATCCCAGCCATGAGCTAGGAAGTTCAAGACTCCCTGGATGAGTACTGCTCTATCAGATTCTTTGAGTATCAGGACTAAAAACTGAGGAGAGGGGAACTTCCTTTAAGAGTCTCTCCTACCTTCAAATCTCTCAGAAAGTCCTTGATTTTATGACACCTGGGCTAAGAAAGCCCCATGCACACTTATGGAGTCAGTTACAAAAGTGGCCATGAGTTTATTTCCCATACATTCCATAACGCATTTACTGAGTACCTACTAAGGGTCTGGTACTGTGCTACTGGCTGGGAATATAAGGTCCCAAGCCCCAAGGGGTTAGTCTTATACTCCAGTGAGAGATTAAGTTTGGAGATGTTAAAATAGGTGTAACCACAGGTACTAGGGAAGCTCAGTGCAGAAGCCCGTCCCATAGACTAGGGCAAAGAGCTGGAAGGCAGGGCTGAGTCAGGTTCGCAGAGGAAGTGAAGTTTTCCCTGAGCCTTTAAAGATCAGGTGAGAGGGGTGCCTGGGTGGCGCAGTCGGTTAAGCGTCCGACTTCAGCCAGGTCACGATCTCGCGGTCCGTGAGTTCGAGCCCCGCGTCAGGCTCTGGGCTGATGGCTCGGAGCCTGGAGCCTGTTTCCGATTCTGTGTCTCCCTCTCTCTCTGCCCCTCCCCCGTTCATGCTCTGTCTCTCTCTGTCCCAAAAATAAATAAAAAAAAAAAGTTGAAAAAAAAATTTTAAAGATCAGGTGAGAGCAGCCAGGAAGAGCCCAGTCTAGGCTGAGCAAACAGCCTTTGCAAAAACTGAGCTAGGAATCCTATTTGCAGCCAAACTTTAAACTACTTCCTTCATTCCTCAAGTGGAGACCTCATTGTGATTCAAACTCAGGATCTCCTGTTTACTAGACAAGCACTTGAACCAATAAATCTCTACAAAATAAAATAAGCCTCTGCAGTCCACGTGTACTTCATTCCAAAGCCCTTGTTTTTGCAAGGTCTGCCTTTGCTGGTATAATAACCCAACAGACAAGAAATGACTAATTTTATACTTCTTACAGCAAGCAGGACATTCTTTTCAAATGCACTGTGGACTGGCAACCATGGGAGTGTCCCTCACTTGGGAACACAGAAGAGTGAAGAGAAAAAGAGGATAATCAAGGTCAGCTGAAGGGTGAGGCAGAAGGAGTGCCAGCAGGTCAACTTACCCTTGACCTGAAGCTCAAGATGATCCTTATCCTCTGTTAGCTTTTTTCACTCATATGAAGCCTTGTTTCACTTACCATCAACTGTACCAATGCACGAAGCCTGATTCTCACATTATTATATTTGCACAGGAAGCTTATTTTGGCTATTTTTTCAAAACCATGTATGCTATATATGTAATATAAAAACTATATATGTGAGTATATTAATAAATAGGTAACTAAAAGTAGCCAACTGGGAAACTCTGAACCTCAGCCCAAAGGCAATAGTTTTTTGAGTTAACGTACTGAGCACAGAAACTGGGTTGTTGCCACTTCAGGTGGTTAAATAATTATGAAAGCAGGAGTCAGAGTAGTTCAATTGTTCTCTCCTGGGGCAGGAAGGGGTGAGGGAAGCAAGCCCTTGTGGCTCCCTCTTGCCTCCAGCCTACAAGGAACGGGCTCATTTCCCCTTGGCAAGGAGCCAGATGCGGTAGGCGGGCATGCCCACATTTTCCTGCCCCAGTTCCCCTCTTACCTGAGGCACACTCAGGAACCATAACTCTGCAGGTAACTTCGGTCCCATAATTACTGCATTTTTATCATTCAGGCACACTTTGACCTCCAATTTGACATCACAAACACATCTGGTCCACGTATATTTCCCCATAAATTACCCTGCACACAAAAAAGTCTTGTGTTCCAAGGTAAGATATTCTGAAGTAAAACTTCGGGATCCCTCACAAACCTCCTGTCCCTGCTTCCAACCAGGAGGTTCAGGAGAGGCAGTATCGTAGAGCTCCAACCGCAAAGCCAAAAGGCCAAAATCACACTAGAAAAAGAGGAAGGGATCTTCAAAGGAACGGATTCACCCCAACGGAAGAGGCTGGCTAGTCTTTTTGATTCCTGGCTGATTCCATTTCTTTTTTGTAAACTTTGCTAACCCCGGGATGGTGGTATAAACAGAGACAGGTGTAGGGGCACCTCCACCCTCTGAGTACATCCGCTGCTACCGCTGTCGGGTGCGCATGATAGGGGCCCTGGACCCAATGGAAGTCCATGCTTCCCGATGACGCACCCGGCCGGGGGTCCTCTCCCACGTGGGGGGAGGGGGTGTTACAAAATGGGCATTCCCAGTCCTGCGGCCACCCAGCCCGCCCCGGTTAGAGGGGACAGCGAAAGGGACACCTCGGAGCTGAGACCTCATGCCCGTCTCTCCGATTTTCCCACTTCCAGCACATCGTTTCGCATCAGGGGTACTGTTTGCCTCCAACCCCAAAGTCCTGCGCACCTACATGTCTTTCTAAAGCAACTGAAGAAAGCGTCTATTCGCCTTCCGGGACTCAGGTGAGTGCCAAAAGGTGTAGGAGGAAAGGGCCCGCTCGCCACCACCCTCTTTCCTCTCCCCCCCACGTTCCCCAGGATTCATCAGGGATGTGTGTAGTGGGGTGCGCGGGTTAAGAGGGAGCTTAAAATGCCCAAGCGTCCCTTACCTTCCACAGCCATTCTCCTAGAGCTTCCCTAACGCATGCATAATTTTCTCGGCCGAGGTACTCCTCCTGCCCCGCGCTCCCCCCTCCTCGCGCTTTCGCCTAAATATTCTGCGCTCATCTGCTCCAGGACCAACCTGCCGCGGTCACGCAAAGCGAGGCTGCCGGCTTGGCTCGGCGCAGGGCGGCCCGGGAAGTGTAGTTCTCTCACTTCCCTCCGACCCGCGAGAGCACCCCGAATCCTCCGCGGGGAACTGCTCCGTCTCCACACTCAGACGGCAGCTCCGGCCTCAGCCCGCCTAAGCAGAATAATCCCTCCTGGGGGGCGTCTCGCGGGCAGAGCCAGCGACCCCCGGACGTGGCGAGGACTACATTTCCCAGGATGCCGTGCGCTGGGTTTCGTTCGGCGCTGAATAGAGACCCGAAATTGAGCTCTTCGGGGACAATTGGAAGTGGGTAAGCACCTGGCAGGCAGGGGTCGTGCGGAGGGCAGGGGATAGCTGGGTCTGTGGTGGAATCTTCTGGGCCTGTTCGCCGGCGTGCTTGGCCAGTCATTTAGTAAGGGGAGCCGAGCTCCGGCTGGCAGTGGTTCCCGCCTGGGCCAGAGAGCCGCTGCCCGGGTGCGGTTCAAACTTGTTCCTCTGCGCCCTGGAATACGCGGGATTCTGGAGAAAACCGCCAGGTGACGTAGCCGTCGTCTAATCCTCCAAGTTGTACAGGTGTATAAACACTTAAAACGGAGTGGGGGATGGCTTGAAAACACTGAACAGGCATCAGCCTCAAGGGGTTATTGAGAACCAAATCCCACCTGAGGATGTCAGATGATGGAAGGCTGTCTTGCTTCCCAACTAGGAGGCTTTCAGCTTGTTTGGCCTGGAAGCCAGTTGACAGTCTGTGGTAGGGCCTAATAATTAACAGCGCCTAAGAATTAGTGTCCTTTCAACTTATGACCCTGTGTCCTAACTCCAGGTGTTGGGTTGCTATAAGCAGACAGGGGAAAGAAGCACGTGGAGGGCAATAGAATTCCAGAGCTGGTAAATACTGATAAAAATGACGTTCCCAGGCTCTTTTCTTTTCTTTTCTTTTCTTTTCTTTTCTTTTCTTTTCTTTTCTTTTCTTTTCTTTTCTCTTTTCTTTTTTCTTTTCTTTTCTTTTCTTTTCTGTTCTTTTCTGTTCTTTTCTTTTCTTTTCTTTTCTTTTTTCTTTTCTTTTTCTTGCATGTAGAAATGTAGATGCAGTTATGGCTGGTAGAGATAAGGGAAGGGTCCTGCGGAAAAAATCTGATTCAGGACTGCAGTAAGACTTTTAAAGGTCTTGAGCTTGAAAGTTGCAATGGTTCTATATCGTTAGATATATCACTATCCCTATCTATCTAAAAACTACTCTGGAAAATAAGGAAGTATAAAGATTTGATTCTTCCCAAAAGATGACTAGTTAGATTTTGTCTTGGTCATAAATTTTTTTTAAATAATTTTGTTTCTGAGGGTGTACATGCACACCTGCTTTTCTGGTTATGAAGTATGTGCCTAGTCCTGCTATCTGGTAATATGACTGTGTCTGGGTCCTTTTTTTTTTTTCCTTTTATTTTCCCCTCCCCCTGTGTCTGGGTACTTTTAGAATACCTGTGTGTAACCATTAAATGCCGTTGGTGATACTTTAACTGTGAGTCCGTAGAGCTGTGTGCAAATCAAACCCAAGATTTCCATCTTTGGTGCGGTAGCCAGAGACCTTTTCAGTGAGACACAGTGGGTATTTGCCATTGGTAAAATCATTTTTCCAACTTAATATGCAACCAAGCATTTTAAAATCTGGGAGGAACAAGGGGCACCTGGATGGCTCAGTTGGTGGAGCACACAACCCTTGATTTCAGGGTTGTAAGTTTGAACTCCATGTTGGGTGTAGAGGTTACTTAAAAAAATATATGGATGGAAGTGAAATCTGGGTGTTTCTCTCCCCTGTCATGTATGTAACATCACCAAAGCATTAAGTTTTTCCTTAGAATGTTTGGGGAAAAAAAACCCCAATGGGCAGGCAATATCAGTGGTTCTTGACCTTGTCTGTGCACAGGTCTTTTCCAAGCACACATTTTAAAGCTTCAAGTTAATCTCACAAAATCTGGATTTCTGAGTGTTTGTATAGGGACAATTAAGTTTTAAAAACCCACAGGTGATTCTATGTGCAGTGAAGGTGAAAATCATCGGTCTGTTTTTAAGCTTTTAAGGATCTGGGCGATACTAAAATGTAAAAGTCCCTGGGAGCACCTGGGTGGCTCAGTCGGTTGAGCTTCCGACTTCGGCTCAGGTCATGATCTCAAGGTTTGTGAGTTCAAGCCCCCCTTCAGGCTCTATGCTGACAGAGCCTGGAGCCTGCTTCAGATTCCATGTCTCCCTCCCTCTCTGCCCTTCCCTCACTTGCACCCTGTCTCTCTTTCTCTCTCAAAAATAAATAAGCCTTAAAAAATAAATAAGAGTCACTGAAATCCATTTTTAATTTAAAAACTTTATTTCAACTCAAATATTTAAGACCTTTCTCAATTGATGTGCATTCTTGTTTAAGTTTCACTTTTAGTATAAATATAAGATGTGAAGGAAGTATTAATTTAACCAATAAAAAATAGCCAATACTGAATTCTTTTTTTTTTTTTTTAACCTAGAAATAGAGCAGTATCATATTGTTCAACCTCATGAAGGACAAGCAGAAGTTAACCTGGGGTTTTCAATTCTGGTTGATCATCTGGGGGGGGGGGGTAGGGGGAAACAATTCCCACTAGAATGGCCAAAAGGAAAAGACAGAAAATACCAACTCTTGGCAAGACTGTGAGGCAGTAAGAACTCATAAATACTGCTGTTGTTGTGCAAATTGATGCAACCACTTTGGAAAACCATTTGGCTTATTAAGTCAAGTATACGCTTATCCTGTGACCCAGTAGTTCCTCTTATAGGTGTATAGCAGACAGATATGCATACACATCTCCAAAAGACATATACAGGAATGTTCATGGCTATATTATTTGTAATAGCTACAAACTGGAAACAGCCCAGATGTTAATCAACACTAGATAAATGAGCTGTGGTGTAAACAAACCAACCTGTCCTGCAGGTGAGCAGACCATGCCCCATGGACCAAATATGGCCTGCTGCCTATCTCTGTCTTGTTCATGAGCTAAGTCTGGATTTTACATGTTTAAATGGTTGGGGGAAAAAGAAGAATATCTTGTCACTTGTGAAAATTATATAGAAGTACCTACATAATAACTTCAGTTTTGCTTTTTGGCCTGTTAAACTTAAAATATTTCCTATCCCTTACAGAAAAAAAGTTTTAGCAAATTCTACAATAAAGTAATGGAAATGAATGAATTACAACTGCGTACAACAACAAAGATAAACCACATGCATTAGGTGTCTATTGCTGGTGACAAATCACTGCAAAATTGAGTGGCTTATAATAACACCCTTTTATTACCTCAGTTTCTGTGAGAAAGAGATTTGGGCATAGCTAAGCTGGAATTTCTGCTTCACGGTTTTTTGTTTTGTTTTAATTTTTTGAGATAGAGGGAGAGAGAAAGAGCGCACCCATGCAAGCCAGGGAGGATACTAGCCAAAACCAAGAGTCAGCTTTAACCTAGCCAAAACCAAGAGTCGGATACTTAACCAACTGAGCCACCGAGGTGTCCCATTTCATGGTCTTTTACAGGTTGCAATCAAGGTGTTGCCTGGGCCAAAGCTGAAGGTCAACGTGGGAAGCTTAAGCTTCCAAGTTCACATGGTCGTTGGTGGAACTCACTTCCTCACAGGCTGTTGGATGGAAGGCTTCAGTTCTTTGCTGGCTGTTGGCCAGAGGCCGCCCTTAGTACTTTGCCACAAGAGCCTTTCCAACACGGCAGGCTGCTTCATTGAAACACACAAGCTAAGAAAGGAAAATAGAGTTTGCTAACAAGATTAAAGTCACAACCTTTTGTTACTTAATCATAGAAGTCCCATCCCCTCAATGTTGCCATGTTGTCATCTATTGGTTAGATGTAAGTTACTCAAGGGGAAGCCATAAATATCAGGAGATTGGATCATTGGGAGTCATCTTAGAGCCTTCCTACCACAACACACAGGTAAGATGCTGAACCAAAAAAGCCAGACGAAAAGAAGTACATTTGTGTGATTCCATTTTATGTAAAATTCAAAAACTGGACAAAATCTATGGCATTAGAAGTCAGGGTAGTGGTTCCCTAAGTGTGTGAGGGGGGCGGAGTATAAGAGCAGGGAATGGTTAGTAACTGGAAGGAAGGCCCATGAGGGCATCTGGAATGCTGGGGTATTGTGATTCTTCAGCTGTCCGCTGTTTAGACATGTGTATAATGTTTGTGAAAGGTATTAAGCCATATGTATCTGATTTGTGAAGTGTGTATGTGTGTGAGAGATACTCCAGTGAAAATTGATAAGTAATGTATGCTTAGATTCAGTTAAACGTGATAAATGACCCATTCATCAGCCACTCTGATTATCCATGCCTTCTCTTTCTTTGCCACAGTAAAGTGGGGGTTGATTCCATTCCATTTAATAAGTTATGTTTTGAGGACCTACTAAGTACTAGGTCCTTGTCTAGATGTTTGTAATATATGGCAGGCTGAATTTCTAGAAATGGCCCTTAAGATTCCATACCATTATCCCCTGAACTCGTGTATGTGACGAGTCTTTCCTCCTGTGATTGTGTTATGTTAAAAGACACAGTTGACTTTAAAAGTAGAAGACTATCCAAGTGGGCCTAATATAGTCAATCAAGAAAGCATTTTCTCGGGGCTCCTGGGTGGCTCAGTCGGTTAAGCGGCTGACTTCGGCTCAGGTCATGATTTCGTGGTCGGTGAGTTCGAGCCCCACATCGGGGTCTGTGCTGACAGCTCAGAGCCTGGATCCTGTTCAGATTCTGTGTCTCGCTCTCTCTGACCCTTCCCCGTTCATGCTCTGTCTCTCTCTGTCTCAAAAATAAACGTTACAAAATAAAAATAAAAAAGAAAGCATTTTCTCTAACTGGTAGCAAAAGAGGAGGGCAGAAGAGGAACTCAAAGAGATTCTAGGCATGAAGAAGACTCAACACATAGGTTACTCCTTTGGAGAGGCATGTGAGTAGGGATATAAGTGGTCCCTGGCAGACAGCGGCAAGGAAAAAAGGGCCTCAGTCCTATAGGTACAAGGAACTGGATTCTGATTCTGCTAACAACTTGAACGAGTCTGGAAATGGATTCTTCCCCAGAGACTTCAGATAAGCATTCAACCCACCTGACACTTTGACTCAGGTCTTGTAAAACCCGAACATAGAACACAAGTGAGCCCACACATCCCTCTTAGCTACAGAACTGTGAGCTAGTAAATCAATATTGTTTTAAGCTGCTAAATGTACTTCCTTTTTTTTTTTTTTTTTGAGAGAAAGAGAGAGTGATCAGGGGAGGGGCAGAGAGAGAGGGAGCA